TCGTGATAAATGAAAAGAGAAACGCATGTATGATTCAGCTATATATTATATGTACGTCGAAGGAGAGAAAAAAAAGGAAATATATAAACGAATACGATTATCTCGAATGTGTTTAAGCGTATGTAAATCTTTCTAACGACGTGTGTAATTTGTAGAAAAAGAAAAAGAAGCAAAGATTAAAAAGAAATAAGTAAAATACTAAACTACCGTACGATGAGCGATAACTCGTTAAGAGGCGGAAACTAACGCGTCGATAAGTACACGGACAGTTCGTGTCCTTGTGGTGTGGTAAAATGTCCGGCAATGAACTATCGCATTGCAAAATGTGAAAGCGATTAAAATTCCAACCGACGGACGATTCTCTTTCTCTTTCTCTCTCTCTCTCTCTCTCACACACACACACACACACACATCACACTCTCTTTCTTTCTTTCTATGTTCTCCGCTACTTCTATGAAGTGTTCTCCTCGTGACTCTCCTTCTTTAGCTTCAAGTTACGTGAGAAGAATGGTATAGATTCAAAAAGTGATATCTCACTTTTATTTTTTTTAATAATGAAAATAAATAATTTCAAAACATTATTGTAACATACGATTACCCATTGACTTTTCTCTTATTTCACCACACGAAAACAATACACATTTGTTCGATGTTACTATTGTTATCAGAGAAATATAACAAATACCTAATTAATCGATAAACGATTGAAGAACGAGGAACGAAAACAACGCTTAGCCGGTCGAAGCGTCGTATACCTACTAACTCTCCTGAGACAGAAAATCGTCGTGTCTGTCCGCTGTCAGATAAGAATATCTATCGTCAGCCATCCACGCCTCTACCGTATATACATATATATAATACGTACACGTATGTGTCCTTACGTATTATATACAACACTTAGGTATAAAAACATGTGTATGTTTTTTTCTCTTGTGTGTACGTTACACGTTTATCTATACGTGTAGAAAAACATATAAAAAGCAAATATGTATGCGAGAATAAGGAGTCCTACAGGTAAAACGATACATTCTATATTGTCGTCATTAGTCGTTCTAAATGTAACAATTATAATGTTACCGAACGTATACAAAACATCAATATCGGTGACACTTCGATACGCGTGCGAAAAATCTTGTTAAGGAAAACGTAACGTAACGCGGAATTTGCTAATATCAATCTAACGAAATTATGCGATATTATAAAATTTAAAAATAATAAAAAGAAAAAAAAAGACAAGTAGTAATTGATCATTTTGATAGTGAGCAAATTGTTATTTGATTCAATAGGCTAATAGAGCAATCATAAAATGATTATAAACGATTTGTAAATATGTTGTAATGATTATTTCAAAATAAAAAAGAAAAAATACAAACGTATAATTGATGTTATTTATGCAATAATCTCACCTTGCCCTAGTTGAATCGACCGAGATTCATCTATCGTGATGATTTCTTAGATTATCTCAGTAATAATGTATAAATTATTTCTTTATTACAACACTTGATCGCTTATGATTTAATGACACACTAGTGTCGTGTGAGTTTGAACTCTATGTTGAATGTATCGTTTATTAAGTCGTAAAATTGTTAAATAATGACAATTTTAATTGTCTAAATATTATACATATATCTTACTTGTGTATTTACAAATATTTGGAGAAACCACGTATATATTTGTCAGCTTTGTAGGTATAAAAGCATAATTAAATAAATACAATTAAATTGGCATTAAATATTTATCGAGCTTTACTGATAAGATAAATTTCAAATTTTCTGAGTGCGTTTAGAGAAGAAAAATATATTCGAAATATAGCGAAAACATGCATTAGCATATATAATTTATATGCAATTATAAAAAAAAAAGAATTTTAAATAAGAAAGAATATGTATATACGTCGAGATTATATAATCAAAAAATATGCTAAGCAAAGTATTATAAATATATACTGTATCCACTGACCTGTAAACGAAGCATCGAAGAGAATGGTCGAATTTCGGGTGAAATTTTTGATTTTTAAGACTTATTCGTTGCTTATTTAACGAAAGCGTTCACCTGTAACATTTTTTAATCTCATTCCTCGCAATTGCATGCACTGTTACACAAGAACGCCGTCGTTATGAAAAATGCGATATTAAAGAATGATAAATAATTAATCAAGACTTTTTTTTATGTGTTCGTGTATGGCAAATAATTGCAAGCATGAGATTTACTCATCGTGTAAATGAATACGTGTACGATATGCAAAGAATGCATCCGTACAAGTGAATACGACGCATTCTGCTTAAAAAAATGATCAGCAAATGATAATATTACATACATATATACAATTTGTACAATTTTTATTACAATAATATTTGGTAAATGTAGCACAATTTTTGATACTATCGTGCCATACAATAGAAAATACTTTATAAATCGTTCATTATTACATCAATAGCGTTTACTGAAATATTATAAACAAAAAAAATAAAATCATAAATTTTGTTTTATATGCTTAAAAAATATAAAGAGACATTTTTTGAATATCTCACAAAAGCTTTAAAAGGACAAACGAAGCGACAAAATAAATGTAGACATCGCATACATTATAGCAGCGCAACGTTTATTACCAAACCAATATTATAATATAAACGATAACTTAAATTTTAAAAGTAAGTATATATATTTTGTTTTTCGCTTTATCTAATAGCCTTATATATGTGAGTGTATGTTCACATATTTCATAGATTAAACTACATAAGTATCGACATGTAGCGTGTGTAAATTGTTTTATATCAAAGAATAAATTCTAAACTACATCACAAATTTAAATACGAGTTTTTTTCTTATTTTATAATTTTTTAGTGTACTGTTTCCACGTTTAAGATAGATTCGTTTTCGATAATACAACTTTATTGCATAGAAAATAGTTTCGATTTATTGATAATAGAATGTATAAAAAAATTAGAAAATTATATATTAATAAATCTTACTGTGCTGTATGTTAAACTATTTCATAAATTTATACAAAAAAATCACAAGACGTTAAACACGTTAGTAAAAAAACAAACAAACAAAAAGAAAAGAATAAAAGAAATAAAAAAAATACATGCTTCAAAATTGTTGACGAATTTGTATTATATAAATTCTTATTTTTATTACATTCAGTTGAATTGGTTTTTTACAAAATCAAAATCAAATCTATCGACTACGCGCATTGAATATGTACTTCAATATACTTACTATTTTAATGAATAATATTTTTACACATGTATATACGTAGATATGTACTTCTACTTCTTGGCTCAACTATACTCCTATATATACATATTTAATAATATTACTTATTATAGGTTCTATAAATTGAACTTAGCTACTCGTTAAATTTTTGTCTACATCTATTTATCTACTTAATACTACCAGTATATGGACACGAAGCTACTCTTTGTTAATATCTATACTGTTATCAAATACTGCTTTTATAAATGTAATTTCAATGATATAGATTTATAAATATACGTAATTACATAATTATGTACTCTCAAAATCGGCAAGAAAACAAAATATATCTATTGAAAAAATATACAAAAACAAATAACGTTAATATAAAATCTCTAATAATTCTTCAATTCTCTTTTCCTGCCTATTTTTTATCTTGCCTTATATAATATCACTAAAATTTGTTTTTAAAACAAACAATTTTTGTTTTCTTTTAGTTAATACATGATGTAACAGGAAATACTATTTGAGCGTATTGCACTTGCAATTTATTTTATATAGATAATTATAAACATATCATATATTATATACAATATCTATATACAAAAACCCTAATACATGATTTTCAAAATAAACTTTTTGACAATCTAAGGAACCAGTTTATTCACTGTACATCTTATACCCCTTAACCGTATCATTTGTGACACTTACGTTAACTAAGTCAGTCGACAAGCATAGAAGGGTCATACTCGGAATGTTCAATTTAATAAACGCGACAATTACGATAAATATTAACTTCTCGGTGTTTTTATCGAAGCGAAATGCCTATTTATTACATACGTCAAGTTAATTTACGAATTACAATCAATATAACGATAGAATTGGATAGTTACTATTTTTCATCACGTGTCACAAAAATAACAAGCTTTTGAAATCGTTAAATTCTTGTTTTCCCCTTCCCCTAATAAAACGACCCTTTTTCATAGGACAAATTAAAGGTTCATTGTTATTTCCAACAAAACAAAAAAATTTGAAATCGTTTCTTTTTTATGGCATTCCCGCGATCATCAATAACGTTATTTCGTCATATATATTTTCTATATAGATACATCTAAATACGTGTAAAACTATACTCCAAAGCCCATCCATACTCTTAACCTTCGAATGAACCTCATGATGGCTTCTTTTTTTCTTATAAAATCAAAGAAGGCTTTTCGATACTCGATCCAAGTTCCGATGGAACGAACGAGGTCTTCCTCGAGCTGTCCAATAACGGAGGTACTACTTGCCCCCAGGATAGATTACCTTCCCTTTTTTTCCAGCAAAGATTTCTTCAGGTTAAAGTGCATCCGATTAATGTCAGGAAAGAAACGAGCAGAGAGGGTGATTTAAGTTTTTACAGATAGTTTGTTCTAGGGTTTTTTTTTTAAGTGTGTGTGTGAAATTTATCGACATTTAATAAATCTTTTGGTAAAATCGATAGGGTTGAATAGATATAACAAAAAGGGATTTATACCTACATATGTATATATATATATATATATATATATATATATATACTAATATATGAATATTTAAATAGAAATCATTAAGAATATTCAAAAAAATTCAAACTTTATAAAATGGGGAAAAAATAAGAAATTATTTATTGTGAGGAAGGAGAAAAAGGTCCGGCAACGAGTGTATCTCCATCCGTGTTCAGGCAAACCGTAAACAACAAAGACGCAACACAACGATTATGCATATACACGTGGTCAGAAAGAAGCGTCATGCGGTGCAGCCAAGCGTGCGTTGCTGTTTACCTGCGAAGGGCACGTCTCCAAAGTATTCCTCAACGTTGTCGGTGGACATGCTCTTGTCCGAAAGAGAAACACTCGACAAAGATCCGCTGGATGCATCGAGAGAACCGCTTGCTGGAAACTGTAGCAAATCCTCGTCAGTTTCCGTTTCCATATCGTGGGATCTTCTTTTGTACACCTAACGAAAAACGAATGCAAGATATTTTTCTCTTTTTTTCCTGTTTTTCTTTTCTTTTTTGTTTTTTTTCAAAAACTTTCTTTTGATAACTTAACGCCCTAAAAAAAATTTCTGATTGACATAAATCATGATCTTTCGAAGATCATAATATGGACGAATGAGGGTAACATTATTTTTTCATTATTCGTCATTTTGTTAAAAGATAAAAAGATTTTTATCTTTCTTGTAAAATATTTTTTAATTAATTCTCATTCAATTCTATAATCTTGTGAAAGCAAGCGGTTAAATATATACCATGTTTTTTTTTCTTCTCGTTAAATCAAGAGAGTATAATTTGTATGGCTTATTAAGGGGTTATATACAGTTAGAATTTTCAAAAAATCGATTTTTTTTTAATTTTATTTTCTTAATGTACATATATTTAAGAATACACACAGAAAATTTCATATCGTTCCGGTGAATATTTTCAAAGTTACAAGCTAATTTGAAAAGGCGTTTCAGAGTGCTTGGAAGTACAAGGTACAAACTTTAAACGCGTTTTTCTCAAAATGATGTAATCAAAGTCGGTGACCAACATTACTCGAAAACGGCTAAACCGATTAGT